AATACAATATCGATATCGTATTTATACAATATTTTATACAATATTGATTTGTGTGATATCGATAAAGGAATATCGACATCACACAAAGATTTCGTGTTCTTACACGGGTTTTTGTGGTATTTATATAGTTTTCCTAATGTAAAAGATTCTTGACAGATTAATTTTATGTCATAAATATCTTATTAGGAACTTAAACTACTTTTTTTCGGATCTAAATCGCGTATATTTATTTTTTCAAACAAACCAACGTTTCAGGTCCTTTACAGGTCCGGAACCTGACGTCAGTCGTGACTATGGGACCTGTAAAGGTAAGCATAGGTTTGGTTGAAAAAACAAATACAGGCGACTTAGATCCGAAAAAAAATAGTTTCATTTCCTAAGTGCAACAATCGCGAAAACCTAAAAACTCGATAAACACCTTATTGTTTCACTAACAAGTAAGTAACAATTAGCAGCAGTAGAGCTCCATGTGAAAGAGTTCGTCCAGGGATGCACTGTCACCTTTACTATTTGTGCCGCCAAATACTAATGTGCATTATTGCGTTCCGGTTTTGAAAGGTAAGGGTTCTGGTGAAATTATTGCTACACGGGACTTGTCAAATTATGTCTAAGGATAACAGGCGCAGTAGCAGTGGCTCTCAGATCTTTGCGATTTGAAGCTCTGAGTGGCACTGCAGCTGCTGTGAATGGGTGTGTAGCTTACCATCAGGCGCACAACTTGTTCGTCCCATCACTTGATATTATATATAAAAAAATAACAAGACTGAAACTTTTCATGTTACTTATTTTTTCGATTTTATGTTACAAAGTAAAAAAATAATAATTTACATTAAAAGACTCAAAGAACCCATGCTACAGTACAAAAGTTCATTTAATATATTATAGTCAAAATTTGATTTAATTTGTCTATGTTACTCGTAATGAATTCCATACAAAAAATTGCTTTATTTCATAATTAATAAATATGCGTACTAAATTATAAAATCAGTGTTTGGTTTGGTATCCCCTTCTCTTTCAGACCGTAAATTACTTGGTATAAATTACCGAAAGTGTTAAACAATTATTGATTCTATAAAAGCCGTCAATGACAAGTACCGAAACTGGTAGATTCAATATTTGTTTAAAATTTTACAAGCCCTGAATACTAACGAATCTACCACTTTCGATTAATTTCTAGCAAATTCTAACAAGGTAAACTATTGAAAGTGAAATATCTAGAAAAATACATAAAATTTTTAAATTATGCTAAGGCCTAAGAAAAACACATAAAATTAGCTATCATAATTGGGTGTCACTTTCACGACACTATTAAAACTTATTATTCTAAGTCAAAATATTACTTCAAACTGGTCTACTGTAAGGTATGCATTTTGTAGTTTCGATACTGTACGTTGCAGCAGTCGAAATTTCTATTGCTTGATACATACAATGAAGTTCTTGATGTAAATATAGGGAAGGGTTAAGGGGCTTGAATATTCAAGACTTCCGCTAATCAAAGGTTCCACTGATTTAATAAAAATGTTAAAAACAAAACCTTCGACGAACGTTTTATTAATTACACAATATTTTTTCATCGTACACTTCCTTATTAAAA